AACCGTGAGCGGAAGTGCATGCATCGATGAGCCGTCTAGTAAAGGTGCGTCCAGCAGGAACAACCTTTGCTGCGAAAGACAGGTGGCCCACTAGCGATTGGAGCTCCCGCCGTGAGGCGGTGTGGCGGGTGGACCATGACTGCAGCAGATGTTGCAGCGAGCGGAGCTTGTCAGTGGGAAGGCAGAGTTCCCCGGTGGCCCAGTCAATCTCGATGCCCAGCACGGTGACGCACGTGGATGGACCCACTACCTTGTCGGTGCCAACCGCAGTGGGGACACCCAGGTTGTCGAACACCTGAAGGAATGTTACACAGTTCAATATCTATACTATCTGAAAACAATGTAGCCTACGATTGACATCTGATCTCATCTAGTAGTATATTAATTTGGATCTGATAAATGAGAGAGAGAGAGAGAGAGAGAGAGAGAGAGAGAGAGAGAGAGAGAGAGAGAGAGAGAGAGAGAGAGAGAGAGAGAGAGAAGAGAGAGAGAGAGAGAAAGAGAGAGAGAGAGATAGAGAGATAGAGAGAAAGAGAGAGAGAAGCATACCGTTCGAACCTTCATCATTCAGTCGGACTCCGTATCATCTACCGCTCTGGGCCTCTTCCTGGGACATGTAGTACAGGTGACACTGTTCGCAGACTCTGCCACCTCGTCGAACTCGATTTTAATGTTGACGTTGATACGGCATTTGGCGTGCACGCGTAGCCTGACAGGTTTTGCGCTGGAGCTGACACCTTGCTCCTTCGGCCTGCTCCGAAAGGGCTGCGTTGTGCAGGAGGCAGTCAGGTGCCCCAGCCTCTTGCAGGTGTTGCAAAAGGGGAGTGCCTGCCCGGTAAAGCAGGTTGTGTATAGCTCAGTGTCCAAGTCTGCCAGTGACCGGGACAAATCTTTCGACAGCGCTTGCCGCGCCCTGGTGTCAAATTCGACAACTGCTGCGAAGCGGTACTTGCCGGCGGCCTGGATGATTCGGAATTGGTGAATCATCAGGGCTTCGGCACATAGGTGGTGTGCGCCTATGGCAATCAGGCTGAAAAGGGACCATGCCTCGATCCACGTAGCCAAGTTTTCGATTTTCCGTTTTGGAGCGGCGCAGACTGCCAGTGCTCCGTCGTCATCTACCCGGAATCTCTTAGGGGTTGGTTCGGTGGCTGGTCCCGGCTTTGGGGGCAGCAGACAAGCAATATTGACATACTGGATCCGTTTTATTTTGTCGATGGCTTCTTGGGCCACATGCTGTTGCCAAGTGCTGCTGCAACGCTGGCAGCCACGATCTCAGCGATAGAGTCCCTCTGGGCTGCTGAAAAAGCCATACTAAATGTTGAAGAATAGTTCGAAAACAAAATTGCGTGGCGAGCTCTTGCAGCAAAGCAGACAGCTGGCAACAATTACACCAGCCAGCAGTAGATGAGCCGTCTACGGATGCATCCGCCAGGCGAAGGGTGGCTTGTGCGCGATGTCGTACGTGAGTGCGACTCGAATGCGGATGCGCAAGTCGGCTGCGGCGGCACGGCGGAGTGCATAAGGTCACCTAAAGTCATCTAGCGGGAATATTCCCCTGCGGGGGCGCGGCCCGTGTCGTGCTGGTTAACTACGGTTTGCGCAACGCAAACCAACATTTTACATTTTGAAAAGAACAAAAGTAGGGATTCACTGGCAGAAATAAAAATAAAACTCTTCAAAAACGGTTTGTGTAGACCAGGCTGAATAGTGTCTGTCAATTGTTCAGCACAAGTTGCTCTGGCTTCCGCTATAGCATCGCCATCATGGGAGTCTTAGGCCTAAGGTGCGTGTGTGTGTGTGTGTGTGCGCACGCGCGCGTCCATGTGTGTGTGTGTGTGTGTGTGTGTGTGTGTGTGTGTGTGTGTGTGTGTGCGCTCTCGCGCTCGCGTGTACATGTGTTGTGTGTGTGTGCGTGTGTGTACATTTGTGTGTGTGTGTGTGTATGTGTTTATGTGCACAACCGAATGCCACTGCAGTCGTCCCAAACGGGCGGCATGTTCCGTGATCACCTGAGGGCATCGTCCGGTGTCAAGCCACCGTTCCTGTTTGCACGAGGCATGCGACTGGAGGCCAAGGACAAGCAGAATCCAAGCATGGTGTGTGCGGCGAATGTAATCGACGTGAGTGCTCGTGACCAACGAATTCAGATCAACTTCGACGGCTGGTCATCAACGTATGACTATTGGTGTAGTGCGGCCGATCCTGATATCCACCCGATTGGCTGGTGCCATGCCAACGGTGTCAGCCTGCATCCGCCCAAAGGTGAGTGGTAGTGGTGTACTGCACTGTTGCGTTGTTGTGCTGTGTCTGTGTGTCTGTGTGCCTGTGTGCCTGTGTGTCTGTGTGTCTGTCTGTCTGTCTGCCTGCCTGTCTGTCTGTCTGTCTGTCTGTCTGTCTGTCTGTCTGTCTGTCTGTCTGTCTGTCTGTCTGTCTGTCTGTCTGTCTGTCTGTCTGTCTATCTGTCTTCCTCAGTCGATTGTAAAGTTTCACTTGCTTCTTTGATCTTTGAGTCTATTTCAAACGGTGTGACTTGTATCCGTGGACATACAGTGCCGATGTAAGCACCTGACTGTCTACTGGTGCAAGGAGCATTCTAATCGAGGTTGTCTCATATTGTTACAGCACTAGCTTGGTCCATCCGTGATAGATGCAATAAGATTTGTTCCGTTTTTTTTGGCAATCCTGAACTACTGTAATTTCACAAATTTTCGGTGTACTTTTATTTTCGGTGCTTTCGGTGCGTCTGTTTCGTGCCTAAAATTTCAATACACCGAACAAACACTAACACACATAATCCAGTTGGGAACTGCTTCTCTGTGCCTAAATTTCTATTCACCAAACCTGGCCTTTTGCATTCATACCGAAAATATTGAGTACCTAAAATTTCTGAAATTAGAGTATTCCAAAACTATTTCTGATTGTTTGCTTTGGCTGCATTTCTCCTTTGCCCAGATTTGGAGTTTAAGTCCTGGGTGGAGTACTTGTATAAACATGACTATGTCGCCGTGCCTTTCGAGGCCTTTACGGTACGTGTACGACCGTGTGTGTGTGTGTGTGTGTGTGTGTGTGTGTGTGTGTGTGTGTGTATGTGTGTGTGTGTGTGTGTATGTGTGTAGGTGTGTGTGGGTGTTTGTGTGTGTATGTGTGTGTGTGTCCGCATGTCACGGCTGTTACGTAGATCACAAAATCGGACATTCAAAATGGCGTCATTTTTTTTGAAACTTTTTGAATTTTTGAACGCGACGGCCCCCAGACAATAGCTGAGAATTGCATTTTTCACGTTGGTATCCAGGCCATTTTGGCTCCCATCGTCTCCCATCGACACGGTTTACCATACAACCGCGATTTTCGTCCAGGGGAAGCTTCAAGGAACGCATTGATGCCTTTTGGATCGTCTTTCCCAAGAGGCGACAGGTTTCTGTCGCCATGTCGCCTCCACGTCCTTTGTTCTTTCGATTCCCAAAACTGCTCTACTTTCATTGCTGCCTACATCCCGGCTCCGAGTTTTCGCAGCTGCTTGCTGTGTTTTTGGTGGCCCTAGAGACCTTCTATAGCTCGAAAATCGCGCTCTTGTCGCAGATCGTGCAAAGGAAGTCTCGATCGCGCATCGACATTTTTGCCTTGTTTGTTGCTTTCTGCTCTGCGATGGAGCACCACTCGAGTATTCTTGAATCCGTGTGTCGCATTGGTGGCCAAAAACTTGCCAGTGCTAGTCACAAAACTCCATATCCGGTGAAGAATTATGTTGAAGAGATCGCCAAAGTTTTTAAAATTGATGTTTCCAAAGATTCCCCTGACGTGCATCCCCAGTACATGTGCTCACTTTGTCAATTTGCTATTGCACGTTCAATGAGAGATGACACATATAAGTATTGTAGTGGGGGCTGCAATGGCCCAGTTACATGGCAACCACATACGAGATCTAACTGTGCCGTATGTAAGAGTGATGCTGTACGAGCCAAGGGCGGCCGTCCACCGAAACGGAAAGCCGTCAGTGAACTGCGTGGCCAAGCGGCAAAACGACAGACATCAACGGCATCAACATCAGCAGAACTGCCAGAAGGCAGTCCTAGCTCTCAGCAAAGACGCACCAGCAGCAGTAGCAGCGGTGACACCAACACAGTAGCACACACCACTGATAGTCAAACATCCGCAGTTACTTTGGACGAGATTTCGGCGCACGCAGCGCCTATGTATCGGGCTGAAGCAGCATTAGAGAAAGAGCGGTTTATTGACAGTGGAGCTGTGCAGGAATGCATGATATGTTTGCAAGTGGTAAATGGAGCAGTTCAAGCCAAATGCTGTGAAAATATATTCTGCTCAACATGCGTGCACACGTGGATGAAGAGTCACAATACATGTCCAGTATGCAGACAGCCAATGGCACTGGCGACACTGCAGAAGCCATGCAAGCTAGTGTGCAATATGGTTAGCAAGTGGGGTGTACACTGTGACTTCCATGAACCAGCATTGTCGGGTTGCCCAGCAACCGTTCGCCTCCATGAATTACGAGGTCATGTCACATCATGTCCGTTCAATCCATCCACATCCTCAGGAACGCCCATTCGTACTGCAACCAAAGCTGCAACAGTGGAGGAGATCTTAGCAGCGTCACCATCAAAGCTACGGGGCGATGTGAGTGACAGACTGACCTGTCACCTTGTGTCCGCCAAAGCAGAAGATGGGAGGCTGGAAGTGAAAACCAGCAGCCAAGGAAGACCGCAAGTTTTCATGCGAACAAGAGTTGGCAGCAAGCAGCCGGAGGAGGCATCAGCCAGGACGCTGAAACGACGGTCGCTGGAAATGGAGCGCATCACAGAGACAGTTTGCACCACAGCAGATGCAACACGGCATGGCGTTGCTGGACTTGGCGCTACCAGCATCAAACCACCGTCAGGCACTGCCCTTGCCATCAAGGCCGATCTAAGCCTTCCTTGGGCGCAACTCCGGAAGCTGCGCAGATGGCTCCGCTCCTTCGGAGTTCAGCTTGAATCGGAGAGAAGCATTCGCTCATTCATAGCCACCGCCTTGCCGAAATACACAGTGAAGCAGCTCCCCTTTGTCAAGCGGACTGGCGAGTTGTCACTTGCTGCAGCTGTCTACTTTCCAAACCTAACCGACATCATTATCCACTACCTCGACATACTTGACAGCGGCAGCAAGCTGACATGGCATGATGGCGCCATCCCAGAAACGGAGATATGGGTCAAGCTGGGCGGTGACCATGGTAAGACAACATTTAAATTCGTGATGCAAATCGCCAACACCATGCATCCAAACTCACTCGCCAACACTGTGCCAATCTGCGTGTTTGCAGAGAAGGACTTGCCGGCAAACCTGGAAACTGCACTCTCAATGTATCGGAACCAAATTGCAGAGCTACAGGGCCAGAAATGGAAAGGCAAGACCATTGTGCCTTATCTGTTTGGTGATTACGAGTACCAAACCATGAACTACGGCTTGTCGGGTTCCAGTGGCGTAAGGCCTTGCCTCCATTGCTTGTGCACGAAGAAAGACATGCAGGTCCCACCAGCGAACCGCGACGTACAGTATGGAGCACGGTCCTTAGAGAAGATGGTGGAGGACTATGCACAGTTTACTAGCGCAGGTACTCTGCTGTCAAAGGCAAAGCTGTATAACAACACCATCCGACCAGTCCTATTGCCAGTGCCCGTTGCGAGCGCCATCATTCCGGTGCTGCACCTAGACCTCGGTGTATTCCCGTGGATCTTTGATGTATTCACACGCGAGGTCCGTCTTCTGGACATGCAGCTTGCAGAACAATGCGACGCTGAAGAGCAAGACAGTGGACGGTTTAGAGCCTTGTCAACTGCAAATCACAAGTTGTCTGGCTGCAAAACAGCGTTCTCGGAAGCAACAGCGAAAGCCACCGCTCTGGAGAATCATCTGCACTTCATCGTCTTGTTTGGCCAGCAACAGGGCATGGCGATAGAAGCACTCGCCGGCGTGCTACAACGGGAGGTTGAGCAAGCACAGGCCGACACAGAGCAGTGTAGCTCGCAGCTGAAGATTGCTGAAGACGAACTGGCCAAGTTGCGCCGCAGCAAGGATGTTCTCGGCCCGTGCGAAGCGTCCATAGAGCCAGTACTGCAGAAGAACATTATCCATCGGCAGGCCTATCACGGCGGTGCTTTCGTAGGGAACCATATCCACCGTGCCCTCAAGCCCGCCGTGATCACAGCTATCACTGAGGCCCCAGCAATTGTCATTGGAGATCGGTGCCCAGCTCTGCGGAATGACGCTCAAGTAGTCAGTGAGCGGTACAAGTCCCTGTTCAGCCAGTACGCAGCGTGCAGATCTTCCTTCAGCCATTGCAACAAATGTGGAGAGAGGAACTGCAGCAATTGGAGCTCTCCATTGCCTCGTTCTTACAGAAATGTCGGAGCGAGGTGGTGGAGAGAGGCTTAGGTCACATCACTCCAAAGCTGCACCTCCTTGAGGAACACACTGTGCCGCTGATGCGGAGAGTGCACGTCGGGCTTGGTCTACTGTCGGAACAGGGCGCGGAAGGAATTCACGCCGAGTTCAACCTGCTCGAGAAGAGATACGGTTCCATTCCCGGCGAGCTTGAGCGCCTGCATGCTGTTGCAGAACAACACCTCGTATGCACCCTGCCAGACGTTGCAGATCAACGGCCCAAAGTTCGATCGAGGCAGCGGACTGCTCCATCGCAGGCAGATCAACCAGCCAGTCCGCCATAACACTGACTACACGCAAAGCCAGAGAGGTAAGGTCTAACTGTTCACTTCTACTTCCTCCAATAATAATTCTTCTTCTTGATGTTTTCGACAGCAAGACTTCTGTTCTTACTTCCTTGTCGTTTCAAAAAATATTTGGGTTTAGACCGACTTTACCGAAAGAAAGTACTAAATCCGGCGAAATTATATAATTCTATACATTTTGTACTAAGTCGTAAGGATTTCAGTAAATCCGCAGCGATTTCAAACTTTTCGCCGCCATCTTGTTAGATGTCCACTGCGTAACAGCCGTGATGTATGCATGCGTGCAACCAACTATACGTTTCAGCAGTTTACTGTCCCTGTCACTGTCTTTGCTGCGACTCCATGTCATACATGCACATAATCATGCAACACCGATATGGAATGCAGTAGAGACTCACTTAGTACATACTAGTGCTCTGATACGATATGCTCCTGCTTAGTATCAAGAGTACATAACCAAGAGTGTGCAACTGCCTGCACAACCTCTATGCTGTGCTGCGACGGCAGAACTTCACATCACGTGACATGGTTCAAAAGGTTATGCTGGCAAACAGTGCAAAGTGACCACAAGAGAGTTGTACCCAAAGCTGGGCTGCGTACAACCCAGTATCTATCATGCACTAGAGTGCACGGGTTCATCACGTGATGTGAAGTTCTGCCGTCGCAGACCCCATAGCTGGAGTTGCACACTCTTGGGTTATGTACTCTTGTTAGTATGGATATTGTCCACAGCACGGGTGTATTGGTCCATACTGAAATATGCTTGGTTAAGAAGTACACTCATACCTCTCTTATCCGGGCGCTTCGGGACCGGACACTGCCCGTAACTTCGAGGGTGCCCATAACTCCGAATCATATACATCTTGATGGGGAAAAGGCCATCGATATGGCATATGACGTCAATATTTCTACGAAAAGTGACAAAAGAGTAGTAATATTTCCCCTGAAACCCGCCCAAATAGTGCCCGGTAGACCGAAGTGCCCGTAACTTCGAAGTCCGGATAACCGAGGTATGAGTGTACCTTGGAAAACTAACCACACTTTCAAATGAACTGCGAAATACAGCGTAGATGTCTGTAGTTCGTGACGAAAAAATCTGGGCGATGCGTATACTCCGGAAAATGCAGTCTTATCGGAGTTCCATTGTGTAATATGTACGCCTATCTTGCTGTGCCGTTCGCTGTTCGCAGGTGCAGCAAACCCTCGGCATGACCCCGCGCTCTAGCCGCTTCTCCCCCGGCATGAGGCTAGAGGCGCGCGACCGCCTGAACCCGCATATGATGTGCGTGGCCAGGATTTCCGGTGTGGAGGGCAGCAGCATGCTGATTGCGTTTGACGGCTGGTCGGAGAAGTACGACTACTGGTGCAGTCCGGACTCGGACGATATCCACCCTGTTGGCTGGTGTGACCGCTTCGGCTTTCAACTACAGCCGCCGAAAGGTGAGCTCTGCCCTGTTAATCAGTATACTGCACTCAAATCTCTCTTATCCGGAGTCCAGTAATTCCGCCAGAGCCGCTCGAACCAGTTTTTGACCGGTTGAAATCACAGCTGGGCGGTTGAAAACTCATTTCCAGCTGCCAACCGGTCATCATTTTTCGTCTTACATGTACATGTACATGTTAAGTTATGTGCTATGTCAGTGACTTTCAGTCTTTGACTCTTGCCGGTCTGTGGACATTTGTGGGGGCTTTATTTGTTAAAAATAGTTCGCGATTTCGTCAAACGAAGCGTGCAGTTCGTCAGAATGTTTCGTTCTCCTCTATTGGGGTTCGTTTCAGGCCTAGTTTTAAAGCATTTTGACATGCTAACAATGTGTTTGTGTCGGTCATCCCGCGAAGCCTCCCAATGGGAAAAATTGTTCTGCTGTATGCACTCACACACACATCCACGGATTCATGCACAGACACACACTCACACGCATGCACGCACACATACACACATACACACACACACTCACACACACACACACACACACACACACACACACACACACACACACACACACACACACACACACACACACACACACTCACACACTCACACACTCACACACTCACACACTCACACACTCACACACTCACACACACACACACACACACACACACACACACACACACACACACACACACACACACACACACTCACACACTCACACACACACACACACACACACACACACACACACACACACACACACACACACACTCACACACACACACACACACACACACACTCACACACACACACTCACACACACACACTTACACACACACACACACACACACACACACACACACACACACACACACACACACACACACACATACACACACACACACACACACACACACACACTCACACACTCACACACTCACACACTCACACACTCACACACTCACACACACACACACACACACACACACACACACACACACACACACACTCACACACACACACACTCACACACACACACTTACACACACACACACACACACACACACACACACACACACACACACACACACACACACACACACACACACACACACACACACACACACACACACACATACATGCGCACAGTGTTCCCCTGCTCTTTTACCTGTTGTATGGAAAGTCCAGTATACTGTACTGAGTTCTCCCTTCTCTTTCCTTTTCTTGCAAGCTGTTGAATGGTGTAATCCCAGCAATAGTTGCTATGTCTAACATAGCTATTCGCTATCATCGCTTCCGCGATGGGCATGTCTGAGGTCTGAGGTATGTGTGTGTGTGTGTGTGCACATGTGTGTGTGTGTGTGTGTGCACATGTGTGTGTGTGTGTGTGCACGTGCATGTGTGCGCCCATGTGTGTTCTACAAATAGGCCGATCTAGCGCTGATTTCAACTGGAGGTCCTACTTGCAGGAGATTGGTGCAGTTGCTGCTCCCAAGCGACTGTTCACAGTGAGTATGAGAATAGCGAGTTTAAGATCAACAGTTACTACTTGTGTGTACTAGTATTGTAGTGCCGTAGAACAGAACAAAAACGAACAGGCTAGAATTTTACCAAGCGCAGCATACCAATGTATACACGGTGACTCAACTGCCCATGGGTTGTAATACAGGGCATAGCTTAAGGATTTCATTTAGCTCGGACAGATGTCCTTCCGTTTCGAAATCTGTCCGGACATGCCCGGACATTTTCCACAACACATTTTCAGGGTGTTTCTTCTTCTATTTTTTTAGTAGTACTGAAGTATATTCACAATGACTCATTATGTGGACGTATCTCACACATTACGACTCGAATTTTGCGAACGCGATATGCTCCTTGCAGAGAAGGTAAGTCAGTTCGAATTTGAGTCGTGCAATAGCGGCAGCACCATCGTCCATCTTGCACAGTGCCTTCGCAATTGGAGCGAATTCGAGGGCGTTTCGAGCGGGACACTCTTGCCTGTGGAAACGATTCATTGCTCGTTTATGCATCTCCGTTCCAGCATGATCCTTGAACGCTGATGTTCTCAGGTTCTTGGATCCGGTTATGAAAGCTTCGCTGACGTTTTTACAACTGCGGACTCTGTCTACAAACTTGATGCACACGGAACACTTCAAACATTCTGCTAACAGCCGATCGTTCTTCTGCCGGTCATAAATCAGCCAGGCGGAAGGCATCGTTGTCCGAGATCCACTTATCGCAAGTAGCGGCCTTCACACCACGGACTTTTTGCCCGGCGGCAAGTCCTCTAAAAGACTAAATCTCCCTTTCGCTTTCCAGAAGACATTCTAAAAGACTATCTGCATTCCTGGTCAGTGAAAGAGTGAAAAATAAAAGATGACATCTTCCTCTCAAGAGCGAACAACAGCACTGCAGTTCAACCCATCGATTCCAGTGCGAAGTCGACACCATGTGGCAAAGGTCGAAAGTGTGAATTGACTGTAGCAACCGCGTTGCTACAGGCGGATCAAGTAAATACGGTGAAGTCTACGCCTAAGGCCACGGTGTAGATGTGTTAAGCCTAGTTCACATTCGACGGGGCGCGACGGGACGCGACGTAAGGATCGACGGGAAGCGACGGGACGGTCTGACGGCGTCCAATAGGGAGGTTCTGCTCTACGTTTTGGGAACGCGACGCAAAGAATCACGCGAACTTTCTTCGCGTTCCCGTAACGTAAAGAAATGCTGTTCTGCTCTACGTTTCACCTAGAGAAGTCACGTGGCATGTGTACTGGGAATTTCCCCTTCCATATTTGGCAGTTTTCTGCATGCACTTGATCGATACCCAGCAAATCCGTACGCATTTTCTCTGCGTGTGCCGCAACGTAGAGAACCCCATCTCCGCGTAGAAATCTGGAGAAAAAACAAGCGAAGCCGTAGACTCTAACCCAGATACCTGCTCTCTACGTGATTTCTCTACGTTTCACGTATAGCAGAACCTCCCTAATGTGAACACCAGGAACGGGAACGCAACCGTACTACCGTACAGATCGGGAAGTGACGGGAAGAGTTGGATCGATCCAACTTTTCATACCGTAGACGGGCGTAGACCGGGACGCAAGCGTACAAAACAGCTGCAATTCGAGTGTGAACAGGAGACGGCGTCGTGCGCCGACTACTCCCGATTCGTACTTGAAAATTTTTAGCATTTCGAACACTGCGCTTCCCATGATAACTCACAGAATGGCTAGCACGACTTGAGTTGAATTTTAGCAACATAAGATCTCATGTCACTTATTGTATTTAGGGATAGTTCAGAAGCGTGACAGACAAACTATTCTATCATTTCCTGGGGCTATTATTTGAATGCCACAACTTTCAGGGCTAATTTTTTTGGTCTTCATGAAAAACTTATATTGTGAACTTGATTCCGCTTCTTTCAAGGAGAAATAATTGAAAAGAAGTCCCGAAAAACGAGAAATTAGGTCCGAAAGCCACCCCGTCACGGACCGTGTCTTATGACTCGCGCCGTTCGACGTTGAACGTCGCAACGACTGCTGCATGTCGTGTCGTACGAATCGTACAGGATTTTACAGCTCACCCCAGCCCTCCCGACAAGCCTTACGTCCCGTACCGTCGGCGTTGCGTCGAATGTGAACTAGGCTTTACTGTTAGTTGTGCGATATGCAAGTCGCAGTTGGCACGAAGCTCCGAAGAAAGCCCAACTCTGCATAAAAGGTCGAAAGGTCGCTGCTCTTTTTTCCTTTTTTGACCGGACACTATGTCGGGTGAAATTGAAAACGTCCGGTCAGCGGCCGAAAATGGCCGGAAAATGTCCGATGTCCGGCCGTTAATCTATGCCCTGTAATACATGAAGATATGAACGGTCTAGTCTGGCAGACTGACTCCACACACGCACGCACTCACGCACGCACGCGCACACACACACACACACACACACACACACCAGATCTTCGGCGACCCACAGTACTGTGACCGTGTGTATTGTGGTGCAGTGGAACTCGCCTACGACTACGGTGGCCGTTAAAGTGTTTTTCGAGAACGGATGCGTGAACATACAGTAGACATCAGTCCAGACGTCTAGTGTATCTGAGTGCTATGGTTTGCATGTTCACAATTTCCAACATTTTGATAGACCTGCTGAAGTATAGTGGTTGCAGGGCAGCTTGCTTTAAAAGCCTTCACAGACCGCGCCAGGGCAGGGGCGTTGGAAACGGTACGATCACTACGGTATTGACCGTACCACTTTTTGCCCCAGGTCACCCCGTGAATCAATAATATACACTGATCTGGGATCTAAATTTCCAAAATTTTCGGCTTGGCCACCACTCCCTCGCAAGTAAATTGTACTTCACATGACTGACCGTACCACACTAAAATACCTTCCAATGCCCCTGTACATGTGGGCAAGAGTACATGAAAACCAGAGTGTGCAGCTCGGATGGGTTGCTGTCACGGCGAAATTCCGTGATTACATCATTTTAGTGATGTAGTGCGTACAAGCAGGATTCAAGCAGGTCTCTTTCTGCACAACTGCAGCTCAGTTGTACGCACCACGCCATTTCCCGCCTCAGATCTGGGCCAAATATGATGTAATCACGGAATTTCGCCGTGACAAGACACCCATAGCAGAAAAAGGCCCCAAGCTGCACACTCTGGTTTTCATGTACTCTTGATGTGGGTAAAAGAAAGACGCCGAATGGTAGTGGTCCGTCGGGTCGAAACCATAACATGTACAAGTAAGAGAAAGCGAAGATACCGCCGACGGTGGAAAAGTCCCGAGGGCTCGAAGACGTTGATGAAAATGGTGTGCGTGTGTGTGTGTGTTGGTCATGGCAGTGCTATAGAGG